CGTTTTTGTTGGAAGTGGTGATAACATTGGATGGAGTGGTCGTCGGAGTGGACACAAAGATAACACGAGTTCCCGAATGACCGACTTGTGAAGCCATTGTTGTGGACACTGTATAGCAATTGCTTGCATTGACGACAGTCCTCGAGGAAGTGGCGCCCATTTTAGACAATGTGTGAGCGTTTCGATGGTTTTGTTGAGGGTTTGATGCGTTCTGGAGTACAAGTGGTTCAGACTTAATGGGAACAAATGTGGGCTGACTTTGGCTATCAATGCGTCTCCGTTTAGGTGTAGTGCCGTCGCTGTCGTCCAACCCGTGGTTTGTCTCCATTTGTTGCGTTTGTTTGATAGCCGTCTCCGACGGGCTTAACATCGACTGGTTTCGGGTCAGTTGAACGTTGGCCACAGAGTTGGCCAAACCTGTGAACGCCGTCTGCGGCACCAGTCGTGGCAACAATGGTATGAGTCTTCGGCCTTCGATCGCCCATTCAGTGCAAGTGTTGGCTCCCGTCATGTGGTGTGCGATTGTGTTGAGCCTCTCGTCGTTGACGGCTCGCCTCACCTCCGCTCGATGTCTCTCAAGGCTTATACTAAATGGTCGGACAATCAATCGTTAAACACACCATTCAATGGTCACATCCAGTGATGGCATACCTCAACATTGAGCACAAGTCCTGAAGTATCTTTCGTTTGTCTTTATTGAGGTCTCCCTGAGCTCTGAGAGCCGTAACCACCGATGAATACGCTTCCAGTTCTGGTCAACACAAACCAAATCACTATTAATTAAGACATCAATCAATTGGTATGAAAAGACAATTACCATATCTTCGGAGAGATCTCTTGCATTCATCGCGACTGTTGTCCAAAATCATTGGCCACATGTTGTCATCCAATGTGTCAATCGTTTCAATCAAATGTCAATTCAATTGATATTAAATAACAATTATTTTAATTTCAAATCATTTTAACACAAAATATCGCGACTGTTGTCCAAAATCATTGGCCACATGTTGTCATCCAATGTGTCAATCGTTTCAATCAAATGTCAATTCAATTGATATTAAATAACAATTATTTTAATTTCAAATCATTTTAACACAAAAATTCAATTTCAATACAAAAACAATATTTTGATTTCAGTTTTCAAATCCGTTTATATAAATGCTGTCGTTTTGAGCCCTTTTCACACAACACTCACTCAGCCATACATAGCCTATACATAGGCTCGCAGTGCGTGTCATATAACGGACCAAATGATCGTTTGTCTCAACTTTTCTATTCAACCCAAATATTTAGTGTTCACAATAGTGTTGAACACAAGACCGCAATACAGGCACTAAACGCGAGCGCATTGTTACCATTTGCACAACCATTCAAACATTACAACTCAATTGTTGGCCACTTTACCCCGATATTCATTTATTCCGGTCTTTAAATAAATTATTAAATATAAAATTTACAATAAAAATGATATATAAATGGATTTAATGGTTAACTATATTGATAGGACTCGGGATGTGTTGAACACTTTAGTTGTGATATTTATTAATGCAATCGATGTCTTGAAAAGTTAGTATTGAATTGAATGTAAGTATCGATCCATTGATTGATTGACTGAAGGAATGGCACTCTCTTTGCGAGACATGTCTTCATCTGGCGATGAGTTTGTGTCACATATTTGTGTCCATTATTTCATATATAGTCTCCAAAAGTGGTTGATATGAATGCAGACATTAATGTATGTAAAAGACAATCACTTTTTAACTAACATTTTTCTGGGGGAACAGTCGGCGGACAACAGCCGGGGTTAGAGTTTTAGAAATTGCATTCACCATGGTCGTGTAGTACCCTGACACTATCCAAGGTGATTTACCCGATTTTTATTAATCCAGTACTAGTCGTCCATATTATGACAGACACTTTACAAATCAATTACAATGTAAATTTACCAATATTTTATTACACGTTAACTTTTGTAAATTAGCATTTTACATTTACATAATAAACGAACATGTTAAATTATCATTTTCCAATTATAATGATCAGTTTTTACACACTTTTTGTTAATCAATTTTGAATCAAATTGTGATAAAATATATTTCTGACAGATTTGTATGAAAAATACAAGTTTTGCATAAATGGCTAACAATCTGTTGATTGGCGTAATAGACACCGAACAAGAAGTTGAGGACCAATTGAGTGACTATTCTTCCTTTCGGATCNACATTGAGCACAAGTCCTGAAGTATCTTTCGTTTGTCTTTATTGAGGTCTCCCTGAGCTCTGAGAGCCGTAACCACCGATGAATACGCTTCCAGTTCTGGTCAACACAAACCAAATCACTATTAATTAAGACATCAATCAATTGGTATGAAAAGACAATTACCATATCTTCGGAGGGATCTCTTGCATTCATCGCGACTGTTGTCCAAAATCATTGGCCACATGTTGTCATCCAATGTGTCAATCGTTTCAATCAAATGTCAATTCAATTGATATTAAATAACAATTATTTTAATTTCAAATCATTTTAACACAAAATTCAATACAAAAACAATATTTTGATTTCAGTTTTCAAATCCGTTTATATAAATGCTGTCCTTTTGAGCCCTTTTCACACAACACTCACTCAGCCATACATAGCCTATACATAGGCTCGCAGTGTGTGTCATATAAAGGACCAAATGATCGTTTGTCTCAACTTTTCTATTCAACCCAAATATTTAGTGTTCACAATAGTGTTGAACACAAGACCGCAATACAGGCACTGAACGCGAGCTTTGTTCACATTTTCACAACCATTCAAACATTACAACCCAATTGTTGGCCACTTTTACCCCGATATTCATTTATTCCGGTCTTTAAATAAAGTATTAAATATAAAATTTACAATAAAAATGACATATAAATGGATTTAATGGTTAACTGTATTGATAGGACTCGGGATGTGTTGAACACTTTAGTTGTGATATTTCTGAATGCAATCGATGTCTTGAAAAGTTAGTATTGAATTGAATGTAAGTATCGATCCATTGATTGATTGACTGAAGGAATGGCACTCTCTTTGCGAGACATGTCTTCATCTGTCGCTGAGTTTGTGTCACATATTTGTGTCCATTATTTCATATATAGTCTCCAAAAGTGGTTGATATGAATGTAGACATTAATGTATGTAAAAGACAATCACTTTTTGACTAACATTTTTTGGGGGAACAGTCGGCGGACAACAGCCGGGGTTAGAGTTTTAGAAATTGCATTCACCCATGTTCGTGTAGTACCCTGACACTATCCAAGGTGATTTACCCGATTTTTATTAATCCAGTACTAGTCGTCCATATTATGGCAGACACTTTACAAATCAATTACAATGTAAATTTACCAATATTTTATTACACGATAACTTTTGTAAATTAGCATTTTACATTTACATAATAAACTAACATGTTAAATTATCATTTTCCAATTATAATGATCAGTTTTTACACACTTTTTGTTAATTAATTTTGAATCAAATTGTGATAAAACATATTTCTGACAGATTTGTATGAAAAATACAAGTTTTGCATAAATGGCTAACAATCTGTTGATTGGCGTAATAGACACCGAACAAGAAGTTGAGGACCAATTGAGTGACTATTCTTCCTTTCGGATCAATAAAATAGGTATTGATTTGATTGCAATCAATAGAAAATATATAATTAATGCGATGAATGGTTGCAAATTAGGTGGTTATCCGGTGTTGAGTCCCGAATCCAAAAGTGGTATCGTTTGTCACTTAAATTCATTGGTCTGTGATTTGTGTCAAAAACAATTGACTTTTATTTCCCAAATCTATTGTCCAGTCGATGAGACACTCATTGATCGCGTCATCTATTTATACGTTTGTATTAATAGTGAATGCAATCAAAACAAATGGTATGCTTTCAGATCAGTCACACCACTGATCCAAACGCCAAGTACTTCACCACAAGAATCCAGTGATAATAAGAATGATATGTGGATTGAAGGACAGGACGATTGGGGAACCGATGAGACCGAGAGTGAAGCTGTGGTCACCGATGAGATCAATGTCTGCGCGGACTTGATCTCCAAACTTGATGTCCAAACATCTGGTGAAACCACCACTAATTGCGTGACACTTATAGCCAACAAAAGCGCACAATTTTATCGACCACTTTATGTCAATGTAATCGATGAACCAATCGGTGGTGACATCGATGACAAACACGTGAACCAATTGATCCACTCGTATGAGACTACTGATGGAAAAATCGTTTCAGACACGAGCGCTACTAAAGGCAACGAAATGTTTGAACAAAACTTTTTGGACACGATTTACAAAAGCGATCGACAAAACTATAAGTTCTTCAAACGATTGTCTATTTGTCCGAAACAAGTGATTCGCTACCAATTGATGGGCAGTCCATTAGTGAACAGCGATAGCCATAAACTGATTGTCCCGAAGTGCGAGTCCTGTGGCGCCGATAGATGTTTTGAATTGCAATTAATGCCGGCTTTGATTAGTTATTTAAGACCATTAGTGCCAACAAAATTGTGCGTTGACTTAGACTTTGCCTCAATCCTGGTCTACACGTGTGGCGCAAATTGTATTCAAAATGAATCGCTTTGTAAAGAATATTGTATTGTACTCTCAGATCCCGATAATGTTTATATTGATAAAATTCCTGTTCAACTAAAATGAATCATTCATTATATATTTTTTTAATTAAACATTTTCTATTCAATTGGATTAACATAATTGTTGTGCTGTTTATATGTTACCATGATTATGGTATCATGATATATTATACTTTTGAAACAAAAATAAAATAAAACATCCCGTCCTAAGTCGGGTAGTTTCTGTCGACTCAGAGTTAAGCCGAACAGAAAAGTTCAATAAATACCAATTCATACGGATTATTATCAATACTTAAATTAAACTTAAACTAACGGTAAAACAGTTGAATATTTAAAGAATTACAAATATTTCGAGTTTTAATTTTGCAGTCTATTTGTAGTCTATTGTAAGATATTGTCACAAATAATTAGATTTGAAATTAATTGTATCTTCAATATAATTATTCAGTTTTCTTTTTCCCATTCGTTGATTTTATTATTTAGGAAAAGAGCGACTTTTTAATGAAATTTGTCAATATTTATACCACTATTTCATTAGAGAATTAAACAAAGTTCAGTACAGTATAGGTTACAGTATTGCTATCTAATTATTTATTTATCAAACATTCCTTTTATTAATGTTTTACTAGAAATTGTTTTATTAAATAAAAACTAATTTAATAGCCAGAGTAACTCAATATTACCTTACTTAATTAATAATCTAATTAAATACTGAATTGAAGAGTATATTCAGTACTGTGCAATTTATTATTGTACTACCTGTGTAGTTTTATACAATTCCTGTACAACATACGGTATATTACTAAAAAGGTATTTATAAGGTATTTATAATTTTAATTAAGAATTCAAATAAATAAGTTAAAATTGTTTCATTTTAATATTACAATATAGTGAACTATTTTATGCAAGAATAGATCAATCGTTAGTTTAATTTTTGTCATTTAAACAAACCATTTATATATGGTTGAATTTTAGAGTTAGTTTACGATAAATTATTTAATATTTTAGAAATAAGTAATATTCATCAATCTATAAATAATCAATTTATAAATCATTTACTGTTATTTGTTATTAAATTTAATGGATTCTTAATTTTATGAGACAATCATGTATTTTGCATAAGAAAGAAGATTTTGGATCAATATCTGTAATACAGATTCTGTATACCTATACGACAATAAGAAAATAACATGACTTACAATACTGTACACTGAATTGATTTGAATAAATGGTATAGATAAGAAGTTGATTATATTCAACTAGAATCTAATTTAGAATTAAATAATTTTGAATACTTTTTTATATATTTAATCAGATAATAATTGTCCGATTGTTATATTTATTAAAAATTTGGCAAAACATAAATATAATTTACAATATTAGATGTTACAGTCATGTTTATAATATTGTATATTGTGTTTGATTTAGAGTGATATTAAAAAATGCTTTTATAATGTTTATTTAAACATAAGATGTATACCATTAGTTATATGCTATTGGTTTGGCACAAAATCAATGGACATGAGAAGAGTTAGTGTTGTGGATGTGTTGATGCGTTACATTTAATTGTTGACGAAGAATGGTTCTTCGTTGCCGTTCTCATCAGTCCTCTCCTGTGCATATCGGGAACGATAGCCTAATTTGATAACAATGTAAAACGATATGAACATCGGAGGAATCATTCCTAGTATAAACCCCGTTATATTAAACGCTTTTATTTTCATTCTTGATTTCAGTACTTTTATCGTGTGCTCTATTAGTGAACAATTTTACACAATTATAGTTTTAATTAATCGATGAAATATCGACTCTATATTTACCATCAATTAAAAATGTTTTCGAAATATTTCCCAAAGAATTGGTTGCAATACATGTATAGTTAGCCAAAACATTTTGCTTTTTGATTGAGATCTTGAAAGTGGTAACTGTTTTGCAAAATTTATAAATTTTATTTTCAATTGAGTATATTTTTCTTTTGGTGTTAACATTATTATCATTTGAATAATCAATTATCATATTATTATTTTGGTTCCACTGTATGTCTGGCGACGGAAATCCCATGAAAACACATTTTAACTCTAATTTTTCGCTTTCAAACGACCGCATAGTTATATGTTGTGAAGAGTTATAGAATATTGGGTTACCTATAAATTAATGACAATGTTTTTCATTACATTGTGTTATCAAAAGCGCAAGTTTTCAAAATATACTAACTTTGTGTCACAAGAATTACATTCTTATCGAGAGAAGTGTTATTTGTTTTATTCATTTCATCGCATAATTGCATTGCTGTCCACAATATTTCCACATTATTTCTATATTTATTGTTTTGAATATTCTCGCAAAATGATTCAATTCTACTTGTATTGCATTTCTTATGCATTTTGTAATCAGATTCTTGAATTTCTGGCACTGTTTAGATAAATGTATAAAAATTTTATTATAAAAAATTAATTTATTTATGTTTATGTAAAATTTATATAACAATTGCAATGTTTATAACTACACTATAAACAGTAAAATAGATTTAATATATTCTAAATATAAGTTAACATTATTAACAGAACAAGTATTTTTAAGTAATTTTATTTACTTTAAATCTTATATTATGTCAGAATTAAAATTGTTTTATGAAATGATATCACTAAACTTTATTGAAATATAAATTTTTATGCTTCTATTTTTACAATTTGGCAATTTTTACAAATGATAGCAATCTGATTGGCCCATTTCAATAATTTTATTGTTTTTGCTTATGAAGCATAAGTTATGATTTATAAATATAAATATTATTTTCTCACAAAAAATATTGTATATTAATAAATAGTTTATATCTTTAATATTTTATATTATAATTTTATAGCTTTTTGTATGAAAAATTGTTGATTTTAATAATTATCTAAAACTTTATGCAATTACAAAATATTTATAGTGTATATAATTAGTAAAGACTTAACATATATGTGGTAATAAGCCCAAAAATATGTAATATAATATGTGGTAATAACTCGAAAAATATGTAATTATATGTGGCAATAAAATACATAAATTCTGGATTTTAAATTCAACAAAAGCTTTTAAAATTTATATTTAACGAAATCTATGCTAAACAATCACAAATATACTTTATTTTACACAGTTTTCTTAATTATAATCATTGGAATTATTAAAATAAATTTAGAAACATGTATTTTAAAAAGTATGAATATAGTATACGTAAACAAAAACTACTTTTTGCTTATGAATACTATTGGGAATGTTAGTTTATTAGAATAAATTAACATTTAATCCAAAATTATAATTATTTTGTTTTTTAATTTTGTAAAACTATTGACAAAATTGTATATTTTTCGTTTGTTTTATTGATTTCCCCAAAATATGTGAAAATATGTGCTAACATCCAAAATATGTAATTATATGTATTTATGTGATAACAAATGGGTCTCAAAATACTTCTTATTATATGATTCGGATAGATCTTTAAGTTAAAGTTCGATATCTCTTACCACAAAAATATGTAAAAATATGTAAAGTCAAGTCTTTGATAATTAGATATGCATATATATATACATGTATGTATTATAATGTTTTATTTAAATTGTTTAAAACTCACATTTGATATAAATATCGTCAACATTTGCAAGAATACAAGAATGAATACCATTGAACATAACGTTAGGAAGTTTAGCAAAACAACAATTTTCTTTATCGCTGATGTAATCCATATTAGATTTATTTGGAAATATGTTATTTGCTTAATGTTTCATAAATGTATTAAACAGAAAAAGGAGAATATAATAATATTTGGTAATATTTTATAATTTAAGTTAAATTACTTGCGATTCTATTGCAATAAATAAGGAGTGAATCCAAAGTGCTGTTGAGAATCGATATCTGTTTTGTATGAAGTGCTGGAATTGCTAACAAAATAAGAAAAACCACTTTCATTGCTATCGTTTTAATTTTAGTTTATTGTGTTATTGTTGTGAATGTAATTCACTTCAATCGTCATATAATTATAAGAATATCGGAAAATAACAACAAAACAGCAAAATAAATATTCAAACAAAACACTGACAAATCGATTGTCCCTTTTATATGTAATAATTTTCTTGTAATTTTAATTTAATTAATTATTCTTATGAGGTATTAACATAATTACTTATTTAATTATTAATTATATGTATATTATTTAAATTGCTTGCAAATTCATGATAACTAGACTTAACTAGAACTAATAATAAATGAACTCTGCATATGGAAGATTAATAAAATCTATGTCTTCATTAAATTCTCAAATTAAATATTATTTACTTATTACAAAATCAATAATACACCAAGGTGTATATTGTGATGTAGGCAAATTACTTTATTCTAGAATTTTGATGCAACAAAATGTCAATTGTGTGTAAAATATATTAAAATATATCACAAAAACTTAATAAAATGTATTGTTAGGAAATACAATGAAAACTGTATTTATTGTTTTGTACAGCTATTAAATATAGAATTTTATTACTTTTTTAATAGAAATTTATTATAGTTCCTGATTTGCATTCAAAGTGTGAACAGAAGGTAAATATAAATTAAATGTTCAATATAAAAATCATATTAATAAAAGTTGTTGCAAACAGTTTTCACGTTTTAAGCGTTAAATTTTTTTATATGAAAATAATGTATAAAGTTTTATATTAAAAGTTAGTTTTTGTCACTTTTAACCCCAATTTGTTAATACAGTAAGTGTTTTATTCTAATTTATATTTAATTCGTTATCTAAATCATAATTCATAAAATTGCGAAATTATTATCATATAATATAATTAATAATTTTTACCTGAAGTGCAAAACGCAAATTGGATTAACTGTATATTTATTAAAATTATTATTAAATTAAAAATATATTTCATCCGAATTTGAAATTCTAGTGTTTAAGTAATTTCTTGAGTTTTTAATTGAGTGAATGAATCAATGGTCCGATCAATCAATCAATTCTCGTTTTCTGTTTTAAATACAATAAAATAATTTAATATTTATTTTAAAAACAAAATTACATTAAAGAATAAAATCTACAAAAATACAGTAAAACTTCTGTGTTATCAACCATCTATGCTATCAACTTCTCTATTTTATCAATCAAATTCCTAAACCCAGATTCTCACCACAAAGACTTTATGTTGAAATAATCTCTATGCTATCAACTTCTATTTTGTCCCAAAATTTGTGGCATTTCTATTTCCATTTCTTTATAATAAACTCTATCCTGTCAACCCACACCAAACTCATCAAATGATCACATGTATTTACTGTAATTTACTTTTCAAAAACAAGACTTTGGATAAAAATTTGTCTATTTTTGTGAAAAATATGTAACAAAAGTAACAAATTATAGATATATTTTTCTCAATTAAATATCAATTTATTTAATGACAATTTGAATGAAATGCAAAACAGAGTCTTTGAAACAAAGTTTAAATTACTAACCAATTTAAAATAACTGACTATTCCTCTAAACTTTAAATTATGTGTATTTTTAATCAATAGATGAATTTTTAGTGCATTTCAATGTACTTTCTATGCTGTCAACTAATCTATGTTATTAACCAAAAACTGTGGAACCGTTTTGTTGATAACACAAAAGTTTTACTGTACTATTTGTAGAATACAAGCATCTTTATTTCCAAAAACTTATAATAACTTTATATTAGATTTTAAGAAATAAGGGGTCATTTACTCCATGATTATGTCATTATATTGTCAAATATAAATAATAATAATAGTAAAATTAGACATTAATTTAATATTGAAACATTATATGAAAGGTTTACCTGTAATTACTGTATGAAACAAATGGACAACTGATTAATAATAGAAGTTTAAACATAACTTCACCCAAAAAACGATTACATTCTAAGAATGCAAAGCAATTTGAAATCCAAGACTCGATTTATATTAATATAAATTACATGTCATCTCAAAAGTCAATCCGATAGTGAAATATTGCATTTTATACATCATTTCTTTGAACAATATTTTTACACAATATATAAAACTTGAATTAAAAAAAACACATTAAAAGAAAACTGTGATTGCATTTACATAACAGCACTATTAAATGTCATTTAAACTTAAGTTAATTACGATTTAAAAATATATTTAATAAATCAAACACACAGTTGTAATAAGTTTTCAATATTTAAAATGACATAAACTTTATATTAAAATAAATCTATTTTTAATCAAAGTTTGTTCTCAAAGAAGAATTTCGCGAAAAATATTTTGTTACAAAAAAGAAAGAATAATAACTCGAAGACAGAGTTTTCGGAGTTTTTTCAATTATAAATATGTTTGAAGTAATTGTAGGATTGGAGCCTCAGTTGTATCCTATTGAGCAACTCATGGCTCATATACCGCCCCAAAACTCCTATCAATATTAATACTCTCCGTATT